GAGGCCACTTTGCATGACACAAACTTATCCCTTCGTCTGCTTTCTAGCCGAGGGAAACAATCCAGTATCTTCTGCCACTTTAAGCTTCTATCCTTGCCCGTTGTGGAGGAGCTTTATCCGTCTGTGGCAATGTCTGTTCGACCCTTGCAGATTGCTCCTCCCGAAGTGAGTGCAATAGTACGCATGACCCGTTCCAAGCTAAGGGCAGCCCAAGTAGCAGCAGCCTCAGTTCCTGATGCACATGCCCCACCCAGTAGGAAGAGACTCCGAAGGGTATCCATACTTAGAAAATATTTTGTGTTACTTCCTTATGCTTATTATATATATTTACTTTAATAATTGCATATCTTCTTCTTCTTTTTAGGAACCACAGACCATACTGCCCTCTGGTCTAGGAGGTTCTTCTACTGCCATTGGCATTTCTTTAGACTCAGACAACGATGACAACCTTCCCATTGCTACTAGAGTCAAAAGGTTCAGGACCCGCAGAACAGTTCTTACAGACGTTGAAGAGGAACCAAGTGAGAGCTGAACCGGCTACTAAGGTCGAGCCAGTTGCCGAGGCAAAGCTAGTTGTAGAGGCTGTAGGCAATGCACAAGTTCCCCCTCCTGTGGAAGTTGCAGCAGGTGATATAGCTGCTGAGGGTTTAGAGCCTTCACACCCTTCTGACTCTGTGCACTCCAGCTGCTCCTCTGTTGGTGGAGATGATTTCATACCTGAGACCCTTAGGGAAGATCGTAGCATGAGAGAGCCGCTAGAAGTTGTACCACCTCCTCTCAAAGTTGCATCTGGCGGTTCCTCTTAGTCTACCGAGTCTCCATTAAATCAGCAGACTCCACTTCCAGACATCAAAGTGGCTGAGGGGAGTGTAGATGTAGCGGCTGCTGCCACTGTTCCTGCTGTGGCCCCCTTAAATTTGGACCAACTTGCAAAGGTAGTTATCACCTTAGCCGCCCACACTGTTACTGTTGTCGCTGGAACCTCTGACCCAGTTGCTTCGACAACCTCTGAACAGCTGGCAGACTTGTACCCCACTCACTTCCCAAAAGTGCCAGCTGACCTTGGGCTGTCCTGGGATTTTTATATTAGGATGCATACCATTGTTGTTCCAAATCTGAATGTTGGAGATTATCAAATGGATGACCTTTTTTCAGAGCGACACAACGGTGCATGCAGTTTTGGCCTTTCTCGTCAGGGTAGTTCACCCCGTCGCTAGCCAACATCTACTCACTCTAATGTTGCTGGGCAATCATTTTCAAGAGAAGTGCGCCGCCCTCAGTCCTTTGGTCGCTCCATCAGTCTCCCTCCAATGATTGAAATTGGCAGTGGTGTGAGAGAGTCCCCCTAGTCCTCAGAGAAAGATTCCTTCCTAAGTTACTGGGTCTCTTCCGAAACTGCTTCCACTCTTGCTCGTACCGAAGCACTGCATCCGGACACCTTTATTGCCTTTAATGTTCCTGGATCTATAGTACAGACGGGGTTGCTGGAGTCACTTGCCAGCTTTATTCGCGACCTTACTTCCAAGCAGATCGTGACGACTCCCAGTAAGTTCGTGGAGAGTGTCGAGGCCAATTTGAGCGGCTTTGAGAGGAATGGTTTGAACCTATCATAGATAAGGGACAGGCTTCAGGCGGTTGATAGTTTCCTTGAGCACGCCGACAATGTGGTGATGATTGCGTCCTTGGAGGAGACTATCAAGGAGTGCGAAGGTGCCCTAGAGCAGCACCAGCAGAACCTGGCTCAATTTAAACAGAAGGACTTTGCATTGGTTGCCCAATTGCCTCAAGATGTGACTCCGATGGACTCCCTCTTGAAGGGTTTGATTTGATTTGGTGTAACTCTGTGACTTTGTTATGATTTCTTCTATTTTCTCTTCTTTATTTTGTTGTTTCATCGCGCTTGGTGCGCCTTTTCTTTTCTTTTTCTCTCTCATAACTACTTTTCAAACATTGTAATCAATGTTCTGGAAGTTTGACCTTAATGGAAAGCATGGACGTTTTGGTAGTACTTTTGGATTTCATTTCATTGCTTTCTTTACATTGCTTTTACATGACTTCTAAAGATAAGCAAAGCTCTTGCAGTGAACAAACTTCATCATGACTAAGCCTTTATAAGTGTAAAATTTCACTAAGTATGGAAAACTTTCCTCAAACTAAGTGAATATAAGAGCAAAAGAGGTTTACTAAGGTGTTGTTTGGTGACACTTACGTTTTCAGTTTTCTGTTTATATTTACAAAAATTTAAAAAACTCAAATAAAAGCTTGTTTGGTAAATTTTTTATTTATAAATCAGTGGTCTCAGTTTATAAATTTGGCCAAAAAAAATGTAAACTCAAAAAATGTGTTTCCGTTTTGAGTTTTGAGTTTTTTTTTTTTACCACCCAACACTAGCCACCACCCACCACCATTTTCCACCACCGTCTTCCGCCTCCACCACCTCCACCCACCACCCACCCCCACCACCATCACCACCCACCCTCCACTACACCGACCACCCAGCCACCACCACAATCCACCGTGCCACCCCACTAACCCACCACCAGCCACCGCCACTTAGCCACCACTCCACCACCACGCCACCCATCCGCTACACACACCACCACACCCACCACCCACCGCACCCCCGCCCAACCATCAGCTACCATGCCACGCCCACCACCACCACCCCCGTCACCTACCGCCACCACTACTCACCACCAGTGCCACCATTCACACCACCACCACAGCCACCCACCCCACCACCAGCCACCAAACCACCTGCCACCCGCAGCCACTACCACCACCTCACCACCTCACCTGCCACCACCATCCACCACCTACTCGTACCCACTCACCCAACCCACACCTTGCCACAGCTAGCCGCCACCACCACCTATCCACACAACACCCGTCACCCACCCACGCACACACCCACCATCACCATCCCGACCAAACCACCCACCACAGCCTCCACCATTCGGCCTGCACCACCACCCGCCGGACCACACCACCCACCACCACCCACTCGCTTACACCCACCAGTCTTGCCACCACGTCACCCACCCCACCCACCACCACACCCGCCACCCTACCCGCCACCACCACCACTCACCCATCAATCCGCCACCCACCTGCCCACCACCACACCACCCGCCACCACCCACTGCTATCACCACAGACGCTACCCACGTTAACCTACACCGCCCACCACCAACCCACCACTACCCCGCTACCACCACCCCATCGTCACCACTTTCCACCACCGTCTTCCGCCGCCACTTGCCACAACTTGCCATTTCTCACTCTTTTTTATATTTTTAAATTTTTTTAAACTTTTTGTCAATTACCAAATGCGTTTGTAGTTTATGCTTTTCTAAAAATAAACAAAACCAGTTTATAAAATTTTTATAAATATAAACTGAAAACGTAAACGTTACCAAACAGACCCTAAGTGTATGACTTTTTCTTTACACTTTGCTTTGGAAACATTAACAAAGACCCTTTACAACTCTTTTTCCTGAACAAAAGAAACTAAGGAAAATACTCTTTGACATACTTGGCATTAACAAGACCTGTCCTGAATCCATCGTCTACTCTTGTCAACTTGTAGTATCCACTGCTTCTTGCCTCAGTAACTTTGTAAGGGCCTTCCCATCTGGGTGAGAACTTGAGAATTGGCTGTCCCCGCATGATTGCATCCACTGTTTTCCATACTAAGTCCCCTTCCTTGAACTTTTGTGTTGAATAGATTGATTGTAAGCACGGGCTATGGATTGATGATACTTTTCCATTGTCCGCAAGGCCTAATCTCTTCTTTCTTTAGCTGCCTCTATGTCATTCTTCCTGCTGTCTGGAACTAAGTGTGATGACATAGCCATTCTTGCTGAGGGTATTGCCAATTCAACTGGTAACATAGCTTCGGACCCATACACTAGGGAAAATGTGGTTGCCTGAGTTGGCTTTCTCTTTGCCGTTCTATATGCCCAGAGTGCTACAGGAAGTTGTTCAGACCATGTGCCCCCTGCTTCATCCATCATTTTACTCAGTATTCGAATGAGGGTTTTGTTGGTCGCTTCAGCTTGTCCGTTCCCTTGGGGGTAGTGTGGACTAGACTTGTGGTACTTGATCTGGTAAGCATCTAGCAGTCTTCCAACATGGCGATTTACAAAAGGAGTTCCGTTGTCAGACAACATCACTTTGGGTATGCCAAACCTACAGATTATGTTTGCTCTGATGAAGTTGGCTACTCTTGCCTCATCTGTCTTCCTCATTGGTATAGCCTCTACCCATTTGGTGCTAACTTCGGTTGCTGCAAGTATCTATCTGTAGCCTTTGGATTGCTACGCTATAGGACCTACCAAGTCAAATGCCCAAGTATGGTACGGATAAGGAGTCTTGATGTTGTGCAGTTCAACTGTCGGTGCATGTATCAAATTCCCAAACTTCTGGCAGGATTGACATCTCCTCACAAAGTTTTTAGCATCTTCTTCCATTGTTGGCCAGTAGTAGCCGAGGTGAATGAGATGTCCATATAATCGCTGCCCTCCTTGATGATCTGTCTTGTGGGCTTCCCTCAGCACCTCATTTGCCTCATTTTTTGATAAGCACGCTAAAGGTTCCCCCTCAATGCTTCTTCGATATAGCTTGCCTTGGTCAAGGAAGAAGTGGAGGGCTCGCCTCTTGACTCTGATTGTATCAGCTTTGTTCTCAGGCAGCGTGCCATTCCCAAGGTAGTCGATATATGGCTACCTCCATTCTTCACTGCTTAAGAAATAGGCTTCCTCTTCTTTAGGATGGGACAGACACTATACACGTTGCCTCTGCAACTCAGTACTTTCATTTTCTATCTCTGGCCAGTAGTACCCTTGCCTCTGTATCTATCTGTATGGACTGATATCTCCATCTCCACAAGACTTAGCATGGATTTGCTTAAGTCTATAGATTGCTTCTTGTTTACCAACGAACCTTGCCAGCAGGTTGTTGGGACGACAAAAATACAACTCTCCTCTGAGGAGCAGAAATTATGCAAGTTCTGCTGGTTTGATTATTCCCTGACCAGTTTTCAACTGTTGGATTATATCTGCTTTCCATCCCTCAGCATCTCGCTCTGCATGTTCGTCGGCTAGCACTGCGGGTGTTATTCTTTTCTCGATGACGATGGCTATACTATCATCTGGTATCTCCACCACCTTTACCTCCAATGTAGCCAAGGCATCGAGGAAACGATTGTGTGTACGAGGAGTATGCTGAATTTGGACATCATCAAACTGAGTAAGCAACCTTTGGACTACAGTGTGATATGGGGCTAATAGAGGCTTTTTCAAGGCTAAATCACCCATTGTTTGCTTGATAACTAACTTGGAGTCGCCCAGATTTTCAACTTACGGAGGCCCTTCTTTTGGGCAACTATTAGACCCAATATCAAGGCCTCATATTCAGCCTCGTTGTTTGAACACTCAAAGTCAAGCTTATATGATAGATGAAACTTCTCTCCTTCTTGACTGGTTAGTGTTACACCAGCTCCACCTTTCCCAGCTCCGGAAGCTCCATCAAACTTGAAGTCCCAATAAGTCTCAATTGCAGCTACTGAAACATGGACTTCACCTGGTAGAGGTACCTCTACGAGTTCATGTTCACCAGATGGGAACTGGGCCAGTAAGTCTGTAAGTACTTGGCTCTTAATAGCCTTGGGAGTAACACAAGTGATATCATATTCTGCTAGAGTCAAGAGTCATCTTGCCATCCGCCCAGTCAGAACGGGCTTGCTCAGCAGGTAACGAACTGGATCACTCCAAGTCACAACCTGGATCGAATGTGCCAAAAAGTAGTGACGCAACTTCTGCATTGTGAAGATTAAGGCTAAACAATGCCTCTCAAATGGAGTATATCGCGACTCAGCACCATTGACTTTGCGACTGATGTAATAGACTGGCTTCTCAATTCCATCTATGTCTTGGACAAGTAGGGCTCCAATAGACCGAGGAGTAGAGGTCAGGTACAATAGCAGAGGTTTTTCAGGTTGTGGGGCAATCATTGTAAGTGGTGAGGTAAGTGTTTTCTTCACCATATCGAATGCCTGTTAGTGTTCTTGCAACCATTCAAACTTGTGATTCCCTTTTAACAGTGTCCTAACGGAAAAAGTTATCTCAGCAAGGGCTGGAATAAACCTCCTGACGTATGACACTTTACCTAGGAATTTCTTCAAAGCCTTTTGAGAGTGTTGCGGTGGCATCTCCATGATTGACTTGATCTTATCCTCATCTACTTCAATCCCACGCTGGTGTACAAGGAAGCCAAGGAACTTGCTGGCGGTAACTCCAAAGGCACACTTGAGAGGATTCATCTTGAGGCAGAATTTGCGGCAACGCCGAAAAACTTTTTCCAAGTCCCAAAGGTAGCGGTTTGCCTTAATAGACTTGACCACTAGATCATCCACATATACTTCCACTTCATGATACAACATGTCGTGGAACACTGCATTCATAGCTCATTGGTAGGTTGCCCCCGCCTTTTTCAAACTGAAAGGCATCACCGTGTAGAAAAAATTTCCCAAGGGCGTTCTGGAAGCCGTTTTTTCTGCATCTTCAGGTGCCATTTTGATCTGGTTATAACCACTGAACCCATCCATGAAGGAGAACATCTGATGGCCCGCAGTTGAATCGACAAGTGTATCAATATGGGGTAATGGAAACTCATCTTTTGGGCAGGCCTTTTTCAGGTCGTGAAAGTCTACGCACACCCTGATATGACTGTTCTTCTTCTGCATGGAACAATATTTGCTAGCCAAGTTGGGTACTATATAGGCTCAATGAACTTGGCCCTCTATAACTTTTCTACCTCTACTTTAATATTTGCTTCAAGATCAGGGTGATACTTTCGAGCGTACTGCTTGATTGGTTTAGAGTTGGGAAAATTATCCAGATGATGAGTGACAAGGGATGGGTCAAGACTAGGCATCTCGTCATATGTCCAAGCAAAGACATCACTATATTTCTTTAGTAGTGTTATCAATTCTGCCTTAGCTGCTGGAGCCATTATATCACTGACAAACGCCGGCTTACTCTGCCTAGGTAAGTCACTGAGGTTGACCTCAGCAAGTACCTCCTGCTGGGGTTTGGGCTTATCTTGCATGCATTTAGGGGTGGGCTCAGGTGTCTCCACCAACCCTTCTTGGGACTCATCATCGTCACATTTATTCGTCTCAGGGCCATCCTCCCAAGGTATGAAGTCTAGCCCCCAAGACCGTCATAGGTAGTAAACTGTCTTGCCGCTCTCGCTCACCTTGACAATCTTGGGCAGAGGACTTGTGGATTTGATGCTCCTTTTTTGTCCACTACTTTCTAGAGCAGCCTCTGCATCTTGAATGGCTTTCCACTTCTGTAATTTTACCCCTGCAATTTTACCAGTCCTTGGAGTTTCATCCGTTGACAACTCAGTAAAGAAAACTGTATCCGAATAGTGTGCCTCTTCCACTCTGAATGGCTTTTCAGATGCATTTATGGTAACTGTGCGCTTTCCCAACTTTGACTTCACACATTGATGATAACTGGACGGGATAGCCCCATATCGGTGCATCCAAGCTCTGGCAAGTATCATGTGGTAATTTGTATCTGCTTCAATCACATGGAACTTAGTCGCAGAACGGATCTCGCCAACTGCTAAGTCCACTACAACATGGCCCTTAGTTACTTTTTTCTCATCACCAAAACTCGTTACAGTAATGGGTTGGCGAACGATTCTGGACTCTAGGATACCAGCCTTTGCAAAGGTGTCGGCGGTAATGATGTTTATGGATGCCCCACCATCAAGGAAAGCACGCTTGAACTCTACGTCATTGATGTAAGTTGTGACAAAAAGAGGACGATTATGAGGAAATGGATATGCTCTGTCTGCTTTTGAAAAAGTAATGGCCCCATAATCTTCCTGGATGCGCCGAGGCGCAAACTTCTTAGCCTCAGCAACTTCAGCATGGTGCACTTCGGAGAGGGCCTTTGTTGCTTCCATCCTGGTGACTTGGCTCAACCCCAGTTGGTCAAAGAAGGTGCGAAACTTAATAGAGTTTTGCAAGGCTTAAGCATGAGTATCATTTGCGAATTTTGCCTTTGCAAGTACTGTTTCAGGGAGCTGGCTAGTTGCGATTTCTTCTAACTCATCATAGTAGGACGCCATGTGCACTTGATCGCGCATAGGCCCAAGATAACCAATCATGTATACGTTCTTTTCTTCTGTTTATGATTAGGATAGGGGTCCTTCCTTACATCACGATTACCGACATCTTTGAACTTCAGCTCGTTTGCGTCAACTTTCTTCTTGAAGATACTTTTCAACGTCTAACAGTCCCTAGTAGGATGTCTGGTGGTTCTGTGATAGGCACAGTAATCTGGGCTTTCTTTGTCCTTCTTGGTTGGAGTGACATCAACTGGAGGTAAAATAAGTTCACCATCAGTGACCCATTCTTTAACCAAGGCCTTAACATTCTCAAGGCTGCAAGGATATGGATTTTTGTCCTCATAACTCTTTCTCTTTCAAGAGGACGAGGCCTCTGCTTACGAGCGGCTCCCTCCTGTAGAGGTTACTGCAACAACTATACTACTGCAGGAGTAGGGATGGCTGTCACGAGATCTGTGTAAGAGACCAGTGGTACTGAGGTTCCTAGCTGCCTCAACCAAGGCTAAAAAGGTAGGTAGATTATGGTTCACCAAGAAAATTTTGTAGTCTCATATGGCACCCTCCACACATATGCTGACTAAGTGAGCCACATCTACAGGTTCATGACAGTCAATAGCCTTATCTTCGAGCCGCTTAACATAGTCCAGTATATTTTCACCTTCTTTTTGGACATCTCGCCCAAGTGTGAGGGTTGTAACTTTCTTTTGGACTTGGAAGAACTTCGTGTGGAACTTGTTCACCATCTCCTCCTAACTCTTGATTGAGTTGGGAGCCAAGTTCACATACCAGCTGTAAGCCCTTTTAGTAAGTGATTTGGAGAACTCCCGAAAGGCGTAGAGAGTGGTCACTGCCATGAACGCCAAGAGTTTCAATGAACCTCACCACATGTTCTCTGGTATTGTCTTGTTTACCATCAAACTTAATAAACTTGGTCACTGTATATCCAGTTGGGTATGGCATGGTTAATATCTCCTGAGAGTATAGGGGCTTCACATCTGGGTCTGGGAGAGATAGCAGTTGTTTCTTGCTACGCTCTTGCTTCAGCATAGCTTGTACATCAGCTAGAGTAACAACGTGAGTGGGCTAGAATGGTCCAATCTACTCCTGAGTAACTGAACCAGCAGCCGTACCGTTCGCCTGAGGTACCACCAGAGGCACCTAAATCTACGCCCGAACCTCAGGGAATAAGTTAGGCACTGGGTTTGGGATTGCTACAGGCGAAGGTGCTTGCACTAGAGTTGGCCTAGAAGCCATGGCCATAATAGCCTCAGTGAGAGTTTGCAAAGTTGCCAGAATCTCCCTCTGCGTATCCTAGAGTGACTGAACTGCCTCAATCACAACATTATGGTCATGGTCCTCTGCATATGCTGCTCCGCCGTTGGAAGAGCCTTGTTGCCGTGAAGGTTGTTTAACTTCATCTTCTGCCATCTTTTCTAGCGAAGTGTATAAGCCACTGCGGGTATGAACCATCAACAAAGTAGCCTCCCCAACGGAGTCGCTAGAAAAAATATAGAGGGTCAGAAATTAAACCCCAAACTAAGTATGGACCTAAGCACTGAGATTGCCCCAAAGAGGCGACCAAGGATAAGAAAGGAGCATGGGCCAAAGCCCAAGGGAAGTGGGCCAACAAGTGGGCCAAGGCAAGTCTGACCCACCAGGGCTCCAGATAGACTCCGCGAAGAAAAATGCCCAAGTCAAGTTGCAGAGGCAACACCTGTAGCGATGAAGTTGCCAAGGGAATATGTGCAGTGGTAAATGCCTCAGCACCGCCATTCCCAATATCTTCAGTTTCGCCGCCATCAGAAGTTGCTGAGGGAAAGAGAAAGTCGACGCAACTAAGTTATAGAGGCAACACTTGCGACGGCGAAGTTGTGGAGGCACTTTGTCTCAGCGCCGCCATTCCAAGTATCTTCGGTGCCACTGCCATTACAAGTAATGTCGGTGCCATAACCATCTGGAGTTGTTGAGGAAAAGAGAAAGCCAAAACAACAAAGTTGCAAAGGCAATACTTGCAGCGCCCAAGTTGCAGAGGCATTCTGTCAGCGCCGCCATCTCTAATATCTTCGGTCCTACCATCTGAACTTGCCACGGGAAATGGCTACCGCAGCAACTACTACCACAGGAACTAAGTTGCAGAGGGGATGTCCTACCAAGGTGATAGCAGCCTTTGAGTGAGGCTTCCCTCTGCAAGTAGAGGCTGATACTTGGCGCTGATAGCAGGTCCCAAGACATTACTAGCCTAGGGCTAATAGCAGTCCCCAAAGTTTATTGGTTGGAGCTGATAGCAGGCCTAGAGATACCAGTTTACCGCGACAATCCCGCGAAGATGGGAGCAGGGTAGCCCGAACATAAGGGACTCCTCTCCTATTTACCCAGGTCATGGACCTGCCTTAGTCGCACAGGCAAGACTAAGGAAGCCCCTTTGGGCTTGGTATTAAGGCACAGCATGGCCAATAGCAGGCTGGGCTGTGGCTTTCGCCCTGGGAAGTTGGGGAGTTTGTGGTTAGGTGGCTATGGGTGGAGGTTTCGCTGAGGTGAGCATGAATGTAGTCGATAGCAAACTAATGGAGTCGAGAGAATGCATGTACTGGCCAAATAGAACTGAAAAGGCAAGTGCAACGACAAGTTTCACCGCTGCAAGTGCACTTGTTGAGGTTCAAGCTGAGAAGGCAAGTATAGAGGCAAACATGTCCGCTGCAACTACACCCTGCTGCAACTGCACTTGCTAAGGCTCAAAAGGGAGTTACAGCACCAAACACTCCCGTCACAACTACACTTGCTAAGGCTCAAAAAGGTAGTTGTGGAGGCAAACAGATAGTACACAGTACATGCAAAGGGACACGTGGCACCTTCAGCCTGGTGGCTCAAGGCAGAATATTCCATGTGATCATCTGGGACACATGTCTTCTCTCTATTTGGTCACTTGGTGTCCTCTTGGCACCAAGGAAAAGCCTATAAATAAGACTCATTTCCCAAGGTTCAACAGGAGGAATTTTAGGGATTGGGGGAGATGTTGCCCATTTTGGCACTGCCATACACTTCTCCTTGAGCTACTTGCTTCACCTTCACCCAGCTACACACTCTTCAATTCCCATACAGTTGCTGGCATTCATTCTTCAGCCACTTCCATCACTGTTGGACCATTAACATAGTTTAGCTTCTCTAATCACCTCTCTAACCTTGAACCCCCCCTACACATTCAGAGATGGAACAGTGGCAATTGACAATGAGCCTTTATTGGAACAACTTCGTTCTCTCTATAAATGCATTGATAAGGTATTATTATTATTATTTTTCAATTTTTTTATGCTATTAGTTTTTCTTCCTTGCCTCTTCTACTCTTTTGAGGTCTAGTTTAGTTAGAAATTGGAATGCAATAGTGCGCCTATATGTTATGAATTTTTGAATTGTTTATTTATTTATTTTGGGTAAATAAGCAATTTTATAACCAAACAAAAGAATAAACAATAAAGCTCACGACTAGTGTGTTTTGTTTATTACATTATGCGTGTGAAAGTGTGCGCGCGTGTGTGTTTTGTTCGGTGTTTTGGAAGCAAATGTGTGTTTAAACTACAAAGGAATCAATCTAAAACACACAAAATTTGATCTGATTTTTTCTGCAGAAAATAGAGAAGAAGAAGAGCCAAAACAGGGGAGAAGAGGGGTCTCTGTTAACAGCCCCTTTTGCAGATTTTTCTATTAACTTTTTAGCTTCCCTTACAAGCTTTATATATAAAATTATATCAACCCAAGTACCAATAAATCATCTGGACAAATTGCCACATACATTAACTCTAATTAACAAAACCCAACCCAACCCAAAACATAACTAGAATTAAATAAGCATAAGTGATTGTTTGGATACAAAATTAAACAAGCACATCATATCAACATTGCTCCCCCCTAATGTGCTGCTCCATAACTCCAAGTAACTCTCTGAAATGCTAGAACTTTTCTTTGGGAAGAGCCTTAGTGAATATATTTGCAATTTGTTGATCTGGCCTGCAAAATTTGAGTTGTACTTCACCTCCTTTAATTGTTTCCTGAATAAAATGATGTTTAATTGCAATATGACTGGTACGAATGTCAAATACAGGATTCTTAGCCATTGCAATGGCTGATTTGTTGTCACAAAAAATTTCTGTACTATCTTCTTGCTTTTCGCAAACATCTTCAAGTATTCTCCTTAACCAAATTGCTTAGAAAGTTGCCAAACCCACTGAAACATATTCAGCTTCTGCAGATGATTGTGCCACACTCTGTTGCTTCTTTGATGCCCAAGAAAATACTCTAGAACCCAAGGAAAATGCATACTCGGAGGTGCTTTTCATATCATCAGTACAGCCACCCCAATCACTATCACAAAAACCAAACAATTTCACAGTTGAATCTTTGCAATACTTGATATCATAGCTGGTTGTGCCTCAAACATATCTCAAAACTCGTTTTGCAGCACCAAGATGATTTTGGCTAGGATTATTCATAAATCTAGAAAACAAACTTACAGCATACATTATATCCGGCCTTGTAGCTATAAGATACAACAAATTTCCAACCAAGCTTCTATACAACGAACCGTCGACTTTTTTCTCACCATCTTCCTTTGTAAGTTTTTCATTCACAACAAGTGGTGTGGCCATGGGCTTACAACCACTCATTCCAAATTTCATTAAAATATTTTTAGCATATTTCTTTTGAGAAATAAATACTCCATCTTCAACTTGATAGATTTCAGTTCCAAGAAAATGATTCAACAAACCCATGTCACTCATTTCATATCTTCTCATCATGTCATTTCTGAATTCTTCAATCATTATCTCATCATTACCGGAAAATAACAAATCATCATCATACAAAGCAACAATAAGAATTGACATACCTTGATTTTTCACATATAAGATTAGCTCACTCTTGCTCTTCTTGAAACCCTTGTTGATGTAATAGAAATCAATTTGGCTATACCATGCTCTTGGAGCTTGCTTTAGCCCATACAATGATTTCTTCAATTTATACACCTTGTCTTCATCTCCTTTCATTAAAAACCCTTTGGATTATTCAACATATACTTCCTCTTTCAATTCTCCATTTAAAACACAAATTTAACATCAAGTTGATACAATGACCAACCTTTTGGGGATGCTAAAGCAATGAGAGCTTGAATGGTGTCAAGTCGTGCAACCGATGCAAATGTTTCTTGAAAATCGATTCCAGGCTGTTGTGTGTACCCTTTTATGACCAGTCTTGCCTTATTTCTTTGGAATGAACCATCCGAATTTAACTTTACTTTATAAATTCACTTCACCCCAATGATTTCCTTGCCATGTGATCTTTCAACCAATTCCCATGTGTTGTTCTTCTCAATGACTTCAATTTTTTCTTCCATTGCTTTCTTCTATGCTTCCTCTTTAATTACTTCTTCAAAACTTCCAGGTTCCACTACACAAAAATTGCATCTAGCATACACATCACTCAAACTCCTTAATTGTTTGGAGTTGAGCTAGGTGAGGATGAAGTAGAATTTGAGCTTGAACTTGGAGAAGAGCTGGAAGATGATGATGAACCTGTCCTTGGTGAGAATTGGTGTGAATCTTCATCATTTTCATATTCATGTGTTGAATTTTCTTGCTCCTCATCAACTAGGACAGATTGCTTCTCAATTTTACCTTCTTCCCAATTCCATGAAGCATTCTCATCAAATAACACATCCCGGCTGATTATTATCTGATTTTTATTCAAGCTATACAATTGATAGCCCTTGGATTTGTTGTTATATCCCACAAAGATACATTTCTCACTTGTTTCATCTAATTTGCTTCTTCTTTCCTTTGGAATTTGAGCATAGCAAACACATCCAAATACTTTGAGATGCTTTACTGATGGCTTTCTCCCACTCCAAGCTTCTATGGGAGTTTCGTTCCAAGATTTTTATTCAAGCTATACAATTGATAACCCTTGGATTTGCTGCTATATCCCACAAAGATACATTTCTCACTTGTTTCATCTAATTTGCTTCTTCTTTCCTTTGGAGTTTGAGCATAGCAAACACATCCAAATACTTTGAGATGCTTTACTGATGGCTTTCTCCCACTCCAAGCTTCTATGGGAGTTTCGTTCCAAACGGCTTTGGTAGGACACCTATTTATCAAGTACACTGCTGTGTAAACAGCTTCAACCCAAAAACTCTTTGGTAGCCCCTTTTCATGCATCATAGATTTGGCCATGTCCATCACGGTTTGATTTTTTCTTTCAGATACTCCATTTTGTTGTAGAGTATAACCCACTATTAGTTGCCTTTCTACACCTTCATTTTCACAAAATTTGTCAAACTCCTTAGAGTTGTATTATTTTCCATTATCACTTCTCAAAGTCTTTATGTAGTGCCCACTTTGCTTTTCCACCATCCTCTTGAATCTCTTGAAAATAGTGAACACTTTGGATCTTTCCCTCATGAAATACACCCATGTCATCCTTGTATAGTCATCAATAAAGAGAATAAAGTACTTGTTTTGGGCATGGGAAGGAGTACTCTGACATTTCTTTGGCTCTCCATGCAACTCCTTTAGGAAAAGGTTGTCGATGATCATTTCAAAGTGCACACCCCTCACAAACATCATGTATTTCTTCAATACTTAGAAGTCCACGGACCATATTCTTTTGGTGAAGCACCTTAAGACTATGAAAATTCAAATGCCCAAGTTTTCTATGCCACAACCATGACTCATCATTCGTATGAGCTTTCAAAGCAACATTTCTAGCATAGTTGAATGTGAGTAGGAAGCTTCAATTCATTTCCATTTGAATTTTTGCTACCACTTGCTTTGCATTTATATCATGAATGGTGCAGCTGTTAACTTCAAAATGGACTGCATATCCATGTTCCACAAATTGTCTAACATTTAGCAAATTTTGCTCCAAGTCTGGAACAAGCAACACATCATGAATAAACTTAGTCCCCTTCTTTGTTTCAACTCTTATTGTTCCTTTTCCCTTTGTATTTACAACACTCCATTTTCCATTTTAACTTGAGAGCAAATTGAAGTGTCCATGTCCAAGAAAATAGACTTATCACTTGTAATATGATAACTACACCCACTATCAAGGTACCAAACATCATTTTTTTTGTTCTAAAGTTGCTTGACAAGCGTAAAATAAATTTCCTTCTCCATCTTTCTCCTCTGAAAAATTAGCTTGTTGATTGCTCTTGGCTTTGTAATCCTTTTGGAGGTGGCCAAAATCCTTGCATTTATAACATTGTGGTTTCCCTCGGAACCAACAATCCTTCTCTAGATGATTTCCCTTTTCACAAATTTTGCACTTTCTTGTATTTTCTTCCACACTTGAACTTATGAATGCTGCTTCTACCTCTTCCCCTTGATGAGTTTCTTCCTTTACATCTTCATCTTCCTTGTCTACCACCTCTTGATGATTCCCCTCTTGTTTGTTCATTACTTGATGATTCTCCATGACTTTTAGAATTTAAATTAACTTTTGATTGGAATGCACTCTCCAAAGGCTTCTCCAATTGTTTTAATAACCTTTGTTCATGAGCTTTCAAAGAACCCATCAATTCTTGGACACTCATTTCAGAGATATCCTTTGTCTCTTCAATTATTCCCACCATTGTGTTATATTTTTCTGGTAAACTAACCAGAATTTTCTCAACAATTCTCTTTTGTTCAACTCTTTCACCATATGATTTCATTTGATTGACAATCTCCATTAGTTTAGAGAAATAATCAGTTAAAGTTTCAGATTCTTTCATCTTCAAATATTTTAACTCCCTTCTAAGAGTTGGGAGTTTGATGATTCTTACCTTTTTGTCTCCTTGAAATTCTTGTTGTAAAATGTCCCATGCTTCGTTTGATTTCTTGGCTTCAATGATTCTTGGAAACAACTCATCAGAGAGTGCTTGTTGGATGAAGAAGAGTGCTTTAGCTTCCTTTTTCCTGGTTTCCTCTAGCTGTTGCTCTTGTGCTGAGGTTAATGTAGTTGTTGAATCGGGTTCATCATACCCATTTTGTATCAAATTCCATAAACCTTGGGACTGAAATAAGGTCTTCATCCTCACACACCAATAATCATAATTTTCTCCAGCAAAAATGGGATAGATGGTTGTTGGATACCTATACTTTGATTGCTTGAGTCAGCCATGGAGATTTTCTGCAAAACCCATTTTTCTTCTTCACACACCTTCTATTTTCAGCCCTCTTTTTCGAATCCAAGCTTCCACTTCAAACTAGGCTCTGATACCACTTTATGTTGGGTGTTTTGGAAGCAAATGTGTGTTTAAATTGCAAAGGAATCAATCTAAAACACACAAAATCTGATCTGATTTTTTCTGCAGAAAATAGAGAAGAAGAGCCAAAACAGGGGAGAAGAGGGGTCTCTGTTAACATGTTTAAAAGATGCTCTCTAAAGGCTGTGTAATATTGTTGAAGCTTGTTTATCCTAAGTGATGTCTCTCATCAATGTCGAAGATTTGTATGGTTCTACATCTAAAGTCACCTAACCACCATATCTGAAGATATAGGAACCATGTTTTTTAAGTCTACAAATAATTAATTGAAATAAAAATTAAAAAAAATTTACGGAAAGAAGCTGCTCATATATACATCATGTCGTTTTTATAAAATAAAGGAAGCAGTCAATGTTAAAACAAAATAATATATATAGCAGTGTGTATTATTTTCTAAATTTAGAAGGGAGCTATTTTTAGATTTTGTGCGTGGCCTTTTAATGTTAAAGTTAAAAATAATAAGCTTATTATTTACATCCATTTTGGTCATTGCTGTCACAACTCACCAAGCTAGTGATCTAGTTATCCATTTTTTGCATTGTAGTTTGTTGCTCTCTCTCTCTCTCTCTCTCTTCAAAATTTTTTTAAATCCCATTTGTACAGCGGCCACAATATTTGTTCCTTCCCATTCTCATTGGCTGCATGCCCTAGTTTCTTACCATGAGATGTTGTAGTGTTATAACTGGTTTGGCTGCTGTCCGTGGGTCACACCTAGTTTTTGACCCGAGCATAATTCTGGGGATACAGTGAATTGCCATGTTAAGGTGATCATTGCAAAGCTAGTTACTTTTTGTTAATCTCTATTCAGATAACTTCATGCTTGTGATCTTGAGAACAGTTCTGTATATTTGTTAAGTTTCTGATATTTGACTTTAAGTTTATTATAGAACTTTGCTACTATAATCTTGTTGAGAGCACAAAATTTTATTTTTTATTTATTATTATTTTTTTAAATTCTGTAATCAAATTTCTATCTGGCAGCCATGCTGCATGCTCTACCCAAGCCCCACATTAGCCGGAGCCTCAAGCACTGGGTCACCCCTTTTTAGCCATGCTAATGGACACTGTTTACCAATGCATATTAACATGTTGTATTGGCATGGGTAAGGGTGGTAAAATTTGAGGTGGGTCTATAGTGTCAGACCTCTGTTACCAGAATCTTACAATTTGCGATTTGATTCGCAATTTTTGCAAAATCAATACGAATCTATGGGTGAATCTATTTTGGAAGCGAATCTCTAGTGAATCGCGCGATTCACAATCGATTCACGATTCGATTCACTTTTTACAATTCATGCAATTCTTAAAACTATTGTATCCGACATATTTTTGTCTCTTTTTTTTCTCCATCTTCGTAGTGAAAATGACATAATACAACTTCTAATAGCATTTTATACCAAAATAACTAATATAAATACATGTTCTGTTGTTATTCTACTGATCATGGTGTTTTTAATAGGATCTAATCAGATTCAGTCAGACCCAACATGTTTTTAACTTTTTTTCTCAGTTTTTTCCTTAAAAAATGATAATATATCTTCTAAAGATGTTTAAGATTAAAGTAATTTACACCATAAATTATCTATTACTATTTTATTAAATTAAATATAGTTGAATATTATATGAGTGAGGTTAGTTATACTTTTTATAATGTTTTAGGCTTTAAATAAAATATCTTAAATAATTTTTTCTTATTATTTGGTCATTGTTAATTGGGAAAGTATGTATGCTTATTGTCCAAATATCAATATGGTTGTTAAATTATTATTACTTTGGAAATTGAGGGTTTATCTATATTTACTGTCTTTATTAAAAATGATTGATAAGAAATATCTAAAAAAAGGAAGGTAAGATGATGATCATAGGAACCTTTATTAATTTCTTGACTATTAAACTATGTAGTCATCATTCAAAACAACATTTTCGTTAATTTAAGTCTAAATATTTGATATTCATAAGATATATTTAACATGAAAGTGTATAGTTATATTTTCTAAGTAATTTAGAAAAAGTAATTGAATCTTTACTATTCACGATTCAAATCCCGATTTGACAACTATGCGTGAGACTAATCAAATTTGAAAATTTTGAATTTTTGGAAATTGAAATTAAAGAGCTGCATGATACAAAACGCGTAATATGTGTGAAGGGGAGCAAAGATTTAAAATAATAATAATTATTATTATGTTACCAAAGCGGATTTTGATGTTTAAATGGAGAAATGAAAAGTAAGACAGTTTATACAAGTGCTTTCAATTTAGTGTTTGGTGCATTTCTAATGCAAATACGTCTGTTAGATGTCGTCACGCCCCTAGGTGTTGTAGTTTGAACATAATATGAAGCTTTGAACAATTAGTTGGTTTGACTTGTAGGTCACAGAAGAGATTGAAGGGACATGGTTCAACACTGGAATCTCTGCAATGATGGAGTTCATTAATGCAGCATATAAGGTCTCTATTATCTATCTCTGTCATTTGGCTCCTTAACAAGCTCTTCTTCTTCTTGATATGGGCATGTGATTTACTGCAATTGGTACTTTCCCTAGGTGGTTGGTAATATGTTGGGATATTGATACAGTAACTTGTTTTACACTTTTAGTAGCATCCCATTGATAAATTAGTTGTACTGGAAGGTTTGTTTGCTTGAAGGTGTGAGACACTTCACATCAGGAATATGGGGCATTCTAAAAATCATGGACACGGACACGTGACACGATACGGATGCGACATGGACACGCCGACACGTTAATTTTTAAAAAATGTAGGACACAACACGTGGGGGACACGCATGAAATATATAAATATATCATTTAAAGATAATAAAAAATGCAATATGATACTAATTCCTATAAATTTATATGAGTTTTGTTTTATTATTGTATCTTAAGTTGTTTTGTTCAAACTTATAATTAGTTTCACATGTGTCTGATCGATAGACACGTGTGTTTAAACGATTGACACGTGTGCCTTCCAAGTGTCCAAAGAGTGTTTGGGTCTTTAAAAAAAATTAAAACTAGGACACGTTTTGAAGAGTGTCGGACACGTGTCCAAAGAGTGTCGGTGTCCGACACGGATACGTCACATTCTTAGAAGTGTCCGTGCTTCTTAGGCGCATTTAAATTATTCTAGAAGCGCAAAAGCAAAATAAAAAATGAAGAAGTAGGTGAAAGTGATCGCTGAAATGAAAGAGTTTGGGTTCTCAGTCTTATTGCTCTTGTTCACAACAATACCCTTTTGAAACATGCAATTCAACTTGACACTTCACCTCCCAACCCAAGGAACCCAAAAAAAAAAAAAAAAAATTAAAAAAGTCAAAAGAAAGTGAGAGTAAGGCTACTTATTACCTTTCCCTGTAAGCGGGAGTCTTCTTCATTGAGTACACACATTTTGAGAAAGAAAGCATCGTCTACATGTGAACTAGTTGCTTCTTTGGTAGTCTTGGTGTGCTCTACCATATGTTTGATTTGTTCACATTATTTAATGGCCTGAATTATGTTTTATTTGTCCATTAATTCACTACAAGAATTTACACAATTGCCGACCACTTTTGCCGACCAAAAAAATTTTGGTCGCAAAAAAAATGACATTTGGCGACCAAATATTAATTAGTCGCGAATGATTATTATTTTTGGCGACCAAATATTATTGGTCGCAAAAGGTTATATTTTGGCGACCAAAAAAGGAGTTGGTCGCAGAAAGTGGTATGCTTTTGCCGACCAACTATAAATTTGGTCGCGGAAGGTCACATATTTTTGGGCGACCAAAAATTTGGTCGCCAAAAACTTATTTTCAACAACCAAAAAAAATTGGTCGCCAAATTAGTACATTTAGCGACTAATATTTTAGTCTCCATTGATTGAGATTTGGCGACTAAAAAAATTTGTCGGCGAAGGTACCTTTTCTGCGACTAATATGATATTTGGTCGCCAAAAGTTTGGGAAGGAAATTTGAAACGTGGAGGTGAGAATTAGGGCTGGGCATAGGGCCATTCGACCCGCACAACCCGCTCGGCCCGGCCCGGCCCGACCCGTACGTGTATGAGCGGTTTCGTAAATATAATAGGGTTGGGTGCGGTTTGAAATATTTCTAATTTTCGGATTGCGGGTTTGAACCGCACCCGACCAACCCGCCCGCATAACTTTTCTTTTTTTTTTTAGAAGATCTGGACCGTTGACTTCACTTCATCTATGCCCAACAAAACAAAGAAAGGAAAAAAAGCCCTAAACTCAAAAACACATTACGCAGCTCTCATCTCACACTCTCTCTCGTTTTTCAGTCTCTCACTCTCATCTGATCAGTATCTCATACTCACTCCCTCACTCTCATCTCATCACTCATCTCGGCCGATCAACCTCGCAAGAGATCGACTCTCACTCATCGCAAGATTGACCGATCGACCTCATACTCTCATCGCACCGATCGACCTCCCAGGTACGGATCTCTATGTCGCTGTCTCTGTCTCTCTTTCCTCTCCAATCTCTGATTTTTTTGTGTTATTCAGATCTGTGTCACTCTGTGTGACTAAGATTGTTTGTCAATGGTGATTTTTTGTTCATTTCTGTGTCAATGGTGATTTTTTTTTTTTTTAGATCTGTGACTCTTAGTTTATTTGTTCATTTCTGATTGTGTGTTATGTGTCAATGGTGAGGACTTTGATAGTGGAGTCGATGATATTCATACTCCAAGACAGTGTATAGTATCTGTAAGTCATGTTGGTTCTGTTTCCACCTCTCA